TTTTTTTTTTTTTTTTTTTAAAGTATAGCCGAGCGGCTATAGTCGGTTTTTCCCTACTTTTTAAAAAAATAGTAAAGCCGAGCGGCTGTACTCTTTTTTTAAATTCTTTTTCTAAAAATAGTATAGCCGGGCAGCGGTACTGTTTTTACACGCCGCATTAGGCGGGTCCTTTTTTAATATATATAAATCGTTTAGCCGGGCGGCTATACCGGGTTTTTTTTAATTTTAAATAGTATAGCCGCACGGCGATATGGATTTTGACACATGGCTCTAGGCGGGTCTTTTCTTTAATAGATATAAATATTAAAGCCGCGCGGCTATACCCGGTTTTTCTAATTTCTTTGGCTATACTACGTGCTATTAATGTTTTGTAAAATAGCGGCTATACCGATTTTGACACATGTCACTTAATCGCTGGGCAGGTCTTGGTTTTCTTTTTTTTTACTATTAGGCCAGTACACGAGTTTCTATTGTCCACTTTTAATTTTTTACTTTTCCAAGGTTATTATCCGTATTATGAATTTAGTATTTACATGTTTAATAGTCGTATCATACACGTACGTATGTATTTTTCAATAATACATCTTTTTCTGTATATTTCTTAAAGGCTCGGTAAAATACAAGTTTTTTTTTGTTTTTTTGAAAAAAGCAAACATACAATACATTTATTTTTTATGTTTAATACACGTATTTTTTACAAAGTTTTCAATAATACACATAAAATTCACGTATTATACACATAATTTTCACATATTATTGATTACAAATAATATACATTAACATTTTAAAATAAATTATTGTAAAATATTATATAATGGCTGAACTTTTCAGTTGTAACTTGCCAAAATTATAATTTGTTTTAATAAATTGTACAGCCGCACGGCTACAAGGCGGTGTTTTTTTTAATTTTTTAAAAAATTAGTAGTACAGGAAGTTACCTAAAACGACATCATTAATTACCTTCCCAATTCAATTTTCTCGAATCTGAAGACTGATTTCATCCAACGGTCATGATCTAAGCTTGGTGAATAATGGTATCCTGGTCTGTTTGTAAGTATGCTAATCAACCGCTTCACATCCTTAACATGCATTGGTGGTGACTAAGATCTCTTAATCGTTCCATATTTTTGAGCTCGTTTAGGTGACTTAAACTCTGAGGTATAAATTAACATAAAGTTGTTTGCAAAAGATCCCATCTATATATATATATATATATATATATATTCAGTAGTGACATAATATAATATGAGGCTATCCAAAGCTTTTGCATTTTCACATTTCACATTCCTTTTACAACAACGAGATGCCAGTTCGCCCAAAATAGACTCTTTCACGATGCCTGGCATCTAATCTTCCATCTTCCTCACGGATTTTAATTCTGGCTGCCTCACATCTATTCCATGCCTGGTTTCTTTCTGGAAAACTCAATTATAGTACAAGAAATTAGACTCAAAGTCCTATAAAATAAAATAAAAACTCATAGTCATGAACAAAATTGAGTCTCTTGATTCATGATCATTAAATAAACAAAAAGATTTCATGTAAACACATTTCTTTCACCTTTGCCATTTTCCAGAATGGTTTCTTCTTGTTTTGGCTGATTCATACTAGTCACACTCTTATCTTCTATAGGTTCATAATCCCCACACTCACTGAGTCATAATAATGAGAAACCTTGTTACATACAAAATGCAACAGAATTCCTACGCACAAATTAATAATGTTATTGATGAAAACACAATAAGAAACGTGTAGGAAACTTACGGCATGAAGCAAAAAACAAGATTGAAATATTCAGCGCACTCTAGATCCACAGAATGAACAGTTGAATTTATGGTCTTGATCATATATCTTTCTCCTTCTCCAACAACAATTTGAAATGTGGTGATACAAAGATATTGAGCCGTGTCAAAGCAACGACCAGTCTTGACATGGAAAAAGTCACGGTTCCCCAAATGAACCAAATACTCGCTCTCCATATCAAATGGCAATGGTGGACGCACAATCTCTAGGTCTTGCAATATAAACAATTGGCTTAAGGAATATACAATACTACCGTCGTCACTTTTGTCCATCCTAAAGGAGAATGCTATAAACTCATTGTCTTGTAAGGAATAGATAGTCTTGCCTACAACCACGACCCTCCCTTGGAAAGGAGCATAATCAACAGAAGTGTCAACTTCCACCTGCCTCCATTGGTTTCTACTAATGTGAAAAGCAAGGACATCAAATTTCTCTACTCTCCTGCCACACAATGAAAACAAAATAACGCCATAACAAACAGCATAACCAGTTATAATCATATAATCATAAAATGGATAAGAAGGCATTTCCTCCCAAACATTCATATCAGGATCATATCTCTCGAAGGAGAGGTACGGAATTGGTTCAAGGAACGATGGGATTGCAAGACAATACAGCTTGTCATACGCAGATACAACACTCGGTATTGATTTACAGGCTAGGGGAGGAGGAAAAGATGAACATCTTGACATAGTCTTCGTGTCAATAATATATCCACCGCTCTTTGTAAGGATGTATAATTTGGAGCGGTTGAAAATATGTGCAGCCTTCATGCCAAAAACGTCATACTTCTCACCCTCACAGAACCTGTCAACAAGTCCAATTACTGGGGGTTCATGAGTGAGTCCTCCTTCGTGTTTGAATTTCACTCCATAGATTGCATTACTTCCTTCTTCAATCCCAAAATAAGACGTAATTAAATATACAGATCTAATAGCCCCCTGATTTAATGTCATTGATGCATGCTCCGAATCCATGGGCAAGCTGGACAGAGAAGAGAGATACATACAAGAAGTCAAGTTAAGCTTTTCAAACACCTACCAAACTAGGTAAAGAGAATTAATGAATGAAGCAAAGGTGAAAGCAGCCAGCTAGTAAAAGCTGCTTACTATTTTTTTCAAGCAAGAATCTTTGAATAAGTAAACATGCATGCAGCAACTAGAGAAAACTGAAGCAAAATTTGAAAAAGAAAAACATCAACAATTTTACAGAGAAAAGAAGATGAAATCCAGTAAGCCAAGCACTGACCTTGGGTAAGGATTAACGGCCTTATGCACCGTGGGTTGTAGTGAGCGAATCTGCTCCAACATTGATTTCGTCAAATCGACCAGTTGGGCAAGAGATTTCTCCATCTTCGATATGTTGCCCAGTTCGCCCTGAGATTTATCTATCTCCGTTCTGTCGTACAGTTCGCGCATATATTTCTTGATTAAATATATATTGCGGCGGACCTCACTTTGGCGTGAATCCACCAACATCCAGGCATAGTCCTGAACATCTTGACCAGAGGTGAGCAGAGCGGCGGCGGCAGAAGGTTGAGATGTATTCCGATCATCCCCCATTATTCCGGATGATAGGGCCTTTGCTATTATTAAAATGCTAAATTGAGGCACAAGCGAATTTAGAGTTTCGGCATAAGGGAGTTTGGTTTAGGGTTTGGGTATGATATGAACGTTTCGAACTCTTGGAAAAAATTCCAATAAAAAAAAAAAACTCTTGGAAAATTCTAGTTCTAGAGGCTGCTATCTTATTCCGCACGCATTATGTTGTTATGCCAGCCCGTCCAGAATAACTTCGATTTGTTTTTTTTATTTTAAACTAGCCCCTCATGACTATGTCAATTGGTTTTCTTTCTTTATTTTTTTTATTTTAGAATTAAAAAATAATAATGGGTAGTTGATCTGATTTATTTTAAATTTTAAATTTTTTAAATATGAAAAGTGTGAATTTACCATATTATCATCATTTAATTAATAATTTCAATTCTTAATGTTTGCATAACTAAGGGCATCTTTTGGTATTTTGAATGTTTCACCCTTGGTTAATTCAAACATTAAGAATTGAAATTATTAATTAAATGAGGATAATATGATAAATTTACACCTTTTTATATTAAAAAAATTAAAAATTAAAACAAAATCAGATAATAGGTCCTATTTTTATGAAACACAATTGCCCATTATCTTTTTTAATTCTAAAATAAAATAAAATATTTAAAAAAACCAATGCCAAGGAGCTAGTATTAATTAATAAGCATGGGTATTTCTTGGCATTTTTAAAAGTTTCACTAAACTCTGCCTCGAATTTTATATATATAGATGAAAAGGTAAAAGCGTAAAAAGAGCGAAAATGGTGAAAAGGGGAAAGAAATCTAGATTGGGGTTCCTAGATAAAAATAAGTAAAACATGGGAGAGTAATTGTGTGAATTTTATGTAAAGTACATAATGTCTAGCTCAAGTCAAACTATAACTCCTAATTCTATCTATAGTAGAAAAACATAAATAAAAAAGGAAATAAATTACAATCAATATGGGAATCTTGGTGTGCAAGTCAACTGACACCAACAATAGATGAAAACTGAATCTTGAATTTTGATGTCATGTTTTGGGTTCTGTTGTATTCTTTGGTTGGTTTAGAAAATTATAGTGAAAATAGGAGACGTTCATGCTGCAGTTTTGGACTTGGCCAAACTTTTTTACTTCGTGCGTTTTCTAATCTAAAAAAATTAAATTCGTCGACAGCAGGGTTCGAACCTGCGCGGGCGAAGCCCAACAGATTTCAAGTCTGTCTCCTTAACCACTCGGACATATCGACTTCTTGTATGCATAGTTTATCTACAAAATATTTAACTGTTAGGTAAACAAAACGACATCAAGCTTCTCATATTGACATATATATTAACAGCGCGAACGACAATTTGCACGTGTGGTGGTCATTTGCACGACTAAACGGCAATGTTCGGATGAATTTGCAGGCTAAAACACTGCGTTTAGAGAGAGAGAGAGAGAGAGAGAGAGAGAGAGAGAGTGAACCAGAGTGAGAGGATAACAAGAGCTTAACCAACATGAGTTTGATGGTTGGTCATCTTCTACCTCCAACTTCCAAACACTCATTCACTAAAACCTCTCATTGCCTTCAAAACCCAAAAGCTAGTTTGCAAAGTTCAGCCCCAAAGCCCACAATCTTACCCAGTCTACTCTCTTTGGCTCTCTCTGTAACACTAAGCTCACCTTTTCCTGTTTTAGCAATCCCTTCTCTCAACTCCCAGTCCAATTTAGTCCCTCCCCCCACCACTCCATTCTCTCAATCCAAGAATTTGCAGACTGGGCTGGAAAATGGGTACACTTTCTTCAATTCACTGTTTCTTGAACTGGGTTTTCTCCTTTTGCTACATACAAAGTGTTAAAAGTTAGAATTCTTCAAGGAGTTTTGGATTAAATTAGTTAATGGGTTTGTACTGAATCCAATTCTCTTTAATGGTTTCTTTCTATTTCTGCTAATTTACATCCATGTTGTGTTGAAAAGAATGTATTTGTTGGAAGGCATGGAGAAATTAGAGGTTTTTTCTTCCTCTGCCTTGTGCAATGTGCTTTGCTCTGTTTGCTCAATATGACCTGTGTGTGTGTCCCTTCAATTTGCAGAAAAATCAGACCTTGCCCATCGATAAATCCAGGCTGTGTGTCAACAAATCCAAGGTCATCATCATTTGCATTTCCATTGACGATTCCCGCAAATTCTTCAGACAATGCAATTCAGGTTTAGAGAGAATCAATGCATCTACTCTCATGAACAATTTAAATTGAACTTTTACTTTTGTCATGATCTGAGACTTGCTTGGTTATAAACTTTCGGCATTCACTTGTTTGCATCTTGAGTTAACTAGTTTTAATCTTCTTCTTCTTTTGCCCTAATGTAGTTTTAAGCTTTACAAAATGCTGAAAGTCACTTTCTTTTTATTTTAATGAAATTATGCAGAGGTTGAAAGAAGCAATCTTGGAAACTCAAAAGAATGCAAAAATTCAAATCTTGCAAGATACCCCTGATGGTAAGTAGATTGAACACATGCAGAACAAATTGAAATCTGGCCCATGAACTTGATCTCAAGTAGTAAAACAGAATGTTGCCAAGATGCTTACTAATTAAAGTGAAGAGGAACTTGGTCGTCAAGGCCTTTTTCCACTAGGCTAGACCCTATTGGCGAATCATTAATTAAATTTAAACCAGATTTTAGTGAGACATTACTGATAATGAAAACAATCCCAGGAGGCCAATATCTACAAGCTGAGTTTGATGGAGGGTTTGGCCGAGATGTGCTGGAGTTTCTGGTGAAAGGAGACTTGGTTTCTTACAGGTGCATGGCCACAAAAGTAACCTACTTGTACCCTTTCACTACTGCTTTAGGGAATTCAAAGGGACAAGAAGAAAGGATGAAGAAAATCACTGACCAGTTGGGTTGGTATGCTCCAAGTTTCGAGGCTATGGACTAGAAGTTTTTTCTTCATCTGCTCATCTCTGAAAAGAAAGAACAAAGTTGATTTTATTGACAAGAAATTTGTTGATTTGTGAATAATTTGCTCATGCTTCTTGTTTTCTGAATCTTATGATCAGCTTGTTTCTTAAGTGCCAGATAAATTACATGTGACAGAGAAGGGAAGGCTCTTTTGTTGCACGTTAAACTCATTTGGGAAAACTGGTTTTGTAGTCAGAAGACGACGTATGGTCCCTTCTATGTATCTATAATGGTTGATGTGCGACAGCTCAACAAATCTGGCCATATTTATATAAGCTCAACAACTTATGTAGGTGTGTTGAATCTGGTTCCTGCGTGTTGAAATTGAACTGTTCTTCTTTTCAATTCGTCGGCTATTCATGTCACGTGTTGATCAAACGAAACTAATACCATTTTAGGACAAATTTAGGAGCGAAAGTGTACTTTTATAAACTAGTCTTGGCATTTTCACTCACTTTGTAGTTTCAACATTTTATTTATTTATACAAACGATAACAATGGAGGGGATTCGAACACATGATATCTCGAGTGCAAAAATAACTAATCTTAACTACTTGAGTTACAAAATCTCTTACTATCACGTTTACAGTGACGTAACATCAATTAGAGAAAATCGAATATTCCTATTTCCAGATCTGTCATGATGAGCTATTCTCTCGAGTTGGCGTGGCATTAGTATTGATTAAGAAGTGTGACAAATTCTATCCATATAATAATGAATCCACTGCGATAGTCTGTTAATATTGGTTGCACGTTATGCATGGCAATAAATAAAAGAAAACGAAGGTTGAAGCACCACGTGCTGCCAGTTGTAAATTGCATTGTTTTTGTTCTCTCTCCTTCAGTATCCATCAGTTGTGTATATCATTAAAACCGTGGGGGACTCTAGTAATAAATCATCTTACCCTACAGTCCTATTACAAGACTTCGAATCTTTGCCTGGATTCAATCCCCTGAAAAGACAGACAACCGACGGTCTTTTTTTTGTTTAAGAACTGTTTCTCTTTCTTTTTTCTGTTTGGTTTAAGTTGTTGAATTTGGATTTTCTGTCACTCTCTGGTCCCCACTGCACGGCCTCTAAATTGTTTCCAAATTGAGTGAAAAATATAATGGTTTGGACAATTTCTCCACTTTCCCTTTTGTTTAATATCATTTTTTATACGAGTGATAGCTTAAATTAATTTCATATACTTTTATCTCTATTTCTCTCATCACAAGATGAGTCACGTGATGAGAGAGATGGAGAGAAAATATATGAAACATGAAATATGTAAAAAAAGAATTTCCTTCATCTAGCTTAACTCACGTATGCTTTTCTTGACATCATATTATTAATTGTTGCATGACTTATGGTTATAAAACCAAAAATGGAAATCCCAGAAGAGGCCAAATGATAAGCAGCCAAATATAAGTTAGATGGATATTTTTTGTGTGGACAAAGGTTTGATGGATTTGAGATGTAAACCTCATTATGGTACGTTTCTAAAAATAATATAAATACGTGAAAATAATATTTTATATACTAGTGTGTTGTGTCTCTCTACTCATAGAATAATTAATCACGTTCTAAAATTTGTATAAAAAAATCTAGAAATCAGCTATCAAAAGTCAACAATAACGATGATGGTCTTCGTAAAGTAGTGGCTGAAAAACAATCACGCCTCCTATGATTGATTTTAAATAAACTTTAAAAGAATTTATAACATCAGGGTCACAACCACTGTTCTTAATTTTGTTTTCACTCAAAAAATAATCACCACCCCATTTTTTGGCATGCATAGGACCCGAACCTAAATTAAGAAAGTTCAGAAATTGAAACTCTTCAAACATTTTTGTCTTGAGCAGTCAAAATTTTTTAACCCCAGTTACATATCAGTTGATTTTTCTTTGTTTTACAACAGTTGATCATCTTTTCATTCTACATATTATATATAGGTAGTTATATTGACTGTTGGTGAGACTAAGAAGATTAATTTACCGCCATGTTGATCGAAAATATCACACAGCTGGATATTATATTTATGTCAAGCTTAGACAGACAAAAAACCAATCATTCAAAACTAAGTTTCAAAGTGATCATCAGAGATCTCAATTCCAATCAAATAGAGTGATGCAGTAGACTTTGCTTTCTTTCATCATCATCATCAGCCACTGATTTCATCAAAACACAAAGATGGTTCGGTTTCATGGGAAATTGAAGGCTCTCTTCAACAGCAGATGGCTTGTGTTTGTGTGTGCAATGTGGATTCAGTCATTTGCAGGAATTGGGTACTTGTTTGGGAGCATATCTCCAGTGATCAAGAGCACCATGGGGTACAACCAGAGGCAGCTGGCCATTCTTGGTGTGGCCAAGGACTGGGGTGACGCTGTTGGGTTTGTGGCAGGAAGCTTGTCTGAGGTTTTGCCCACTTGGGGGCTTCTGTCCATTGGGGCAGCTCTCAATTTTCTTGGCTATGGCTTCCTTTGGCTTATAGTCTCTCAAAGATTGCCTGCTTTTCCTTTGTGGGTGGTGAGTTCAAACTTCAATCAAGTCTCATCTGATCATCAAGTCTTCTTTTGGATCTGGTACACAGATAGATTGGCTCTCTCTCTTTTTCTGTCGGGACTTGAATTTCATTGTTAGAACACACACACACACACACATATATATATATATATATATATATATGTATGTATATATATATATATGTATGTATAAACTGAGAACTTTGATTGGTTTTTCTTACTCTGTCAAGATTTTGTTCAGTACCCTTTTGGTTATTGGTTGAAATATCAGATTTGGAAATGACAGAAGCGTTGACAAATTTGAAATTTCCTATTGGAAAGGAAAGAGGAGCTATAAGGTGCTGAATTCTGAGTATATTTTTCAAATGGAAAGGAGTTGCCATTGTCTTTCTTAATATTGTTTTTCTTGACAGAACAGTCATACACATTCTATTGATGTCCAAGCTGAATTGGGACATGTGAAAACTTGACTGAAATCTCTTCTTTTTGTTCATTGCTATTTCAACAGAGTTCAGAAATTCTTCTACATTTCTTTGTGAGCAGAATTGTTAATGAAGTTTGTTTTTTTATGTGCAGCTTTGCATCTGTATATATGTGGGAACAAATGGAGAGACCTTCTTCAACACAGCAGCATTGATTTCATGTGTGCAGAACTTTCCCAAAAGCCGGGGTCCTGTTGTGGGGATCCTAAAAGGATATGCTGGGTTGAGTGGTGCAATCATTACTCAGATTTATGCAATGATCAATTCCCCAAATGAATCATCATTGCTTTTCATGATTGCGGTTGGCCCATCTATGGTTGTCATTGCTCTGATGTTCATTGTTAGGCCTGTGGGAGGTCACAGACAAGTCAGGCCAGCTGATAATTCAAGTTTCCTATTTACTTATAGTGTTTGCCTTGTCCTGGCAGCTTATTTATTGGGAGTTTTGATTCTTGAGGATCTGCTTAACTTGAGTCAATCTTTGATCACATTGTTTGCAGTCATTTTGATAATTCTCATATTACTTCCAATCATAATCCCTATCATATTAGTTTTCTTCTCCGAACCAACACCTTCGGCACAGGAGAGCCTTCTCCTTGAGGCTCAGAGAGAAGAAGATGGCAAATCTGAGCAGGACAAAACTGAGGTGATTCTTAGTGAGGTGGAAGATGAGAAGAGTCCAGAAGTAGATTCACTTCCAGCATCAGAGAGACAAAAACGAATTGCTCAGCTGCAGGCTAAACTGTTCCAAGCAGCTGCAGATGGAGCAGTGAGGATCAAGAGGAGAAAAGGCCCTCGTAGAGGAGAGGATTTCACATTAATGCAGGCATTGATAAAGGCAGATTTTTGGCTTATATTTGTTTCTCTTTTACTGGCTGCTGGATCTGGTTTGACACTTATTGATAATTTGGGTCAGATAACTCTGTCACTTGGGTATACTGATTCAAGTATATATGTCTCCATGATCAGCATTTGGAACTTTCTTGGACGTGTCGGTGGCGGCTACTTCTCTGAGATTATAGTAAGGTGAAACCAGATACAAGCTAACTTAAAATCGAAAACTTCAGTATTTTTTTCTCTCTAAAATGTTGGCACATGAAAGTTTACCAGTCCTAATGTTCAATATGTTTGTTATTTTACCAGAGACTTCGCCTATCCTAGACCAGTGGCTATGGCTGTAGTTCAGGTCATCATGGCAATTGGGCTCTTCTACTATGCTATGGGGTTGCCAGGGCAAATATACGTGACAACTGTGTTGGTAGGGCTAGGGTATGGTGCTCACTGGGCAATTTTGCCAGCTGCAGCTTCAGAGCTATTTGGCTTGAAAAGTTTTGGGGCCCTATATAATTTTCTTACAATGGCAAATCCTGCTGGTTCTCTTATTTTCTCAGAAGTGATTGCTAGTGGTATATACGACCACTACGCAAAGGAACAAGCTGCACTCAGACACCAAGACTCGGCTTCAATGCTTATAAAACCCCTCAGAGATGACTCACTCAGTTGTGTTGGCACTGTATGCTATTCCATTACTTGTGGAATACTCTCAGGACTTTGCATTGTTGCAGCTGCATTTAGTTTAATCGTTGTTTACCGGACTAGGAGGGTTTATACACAACTCTATGGATCACGCGGTTGATCAGTCAGCAGAATGACTCTGATCGGTCTTTCATCTCTATGAAATATGGCCTGGAGTCTTTCTGAGGGTAAGAGTCTGAGGCAAAAATTTCTGCTGCTCCTATTATCACAAAAGTAGACAGCCAGCCATCTAGTACGTCTAAATTATTATGCCAGTTTATTATAAATCCAATCCCTCTGTAGGCATTCTTCTACATGAAATTAAATTCTTTTCTTGCCATGGCCCAGTAGTTTTCCCAAATTTCTTTTTTCTTATTACAGCAGAAGAGCAATGCCAAAGATCTGCGGGATATACCGTTCGACGGATTACTATATGGTATATGCCATTACATCAGGTTTTTCTATTCATGCTATGTAAACAATACAGGTGCAGAAATTGAATGAATCTATTGTCTACAAATCTTTTTTGCCTGCTTTGATGTTTACCCTTAACTTCGGTTAGAGTTCCATTTTTTGTCCAACCAAAGAAAAATCTGTTGTTACATCAAACATGAACAGCTTGAAAAAGCTGAAATTCTGAAAGAGCAGCCAAGACATTTCCAAAGACAAGAATGCAAAAGCATTTGGTGTGTAATTCTTATCAAAATGGAGGAACATAATGGTAAATAAGCCTTCATCCTGAGAACAGAGGAAGTGCACTAGAATGTGATATGGGATTCTGTGATCGAAATCAGACAATATCATGTTATAATTCAGCATCTGTAATAACATTGTCCATATCATTAATATATGACTTAAATACTAGTCAATTTTTTTTTTTAAAACTTTAGTTTGTATTTGAAAATTACAAAAGGAAAGGCAGCCGCGACAACACTGCTGAAGTCATCCTTCAATACTTATCGGAATCTGCTGTTCCTCACAAAGCAGCAAATTTCTATATCATGGAGACACCCTTTGTTCTAAATCATGGGGAGAAAGACTAGAGAAGCAAGCATACCTTAGCTACAACAGATTAAATACAACAATGACTCTCTCACGATGCCTGGCTCTTCCTATTCCTGACGGAAAACAATTCCGGCTCCCTGGCAGCTATTCCACGCCCAGCTTGTTTCTGCAAAAGCCAAATAATATTACAAGAAATTAGACTCAAAGGCCAATAAAAACATAGACATGAAAAAAAAAAATTGAGTCTCGTGATTCATAATCATGAAATAAACAAAAATATTTCATTTAAACACATTTCTTTCACCTTTGCCATTCTCCTATGGTTCACCATAGAAAAACTCTCATCCAGACTGGTTTCTTCTTCTTTAGGTTCATAATCCTCGCACCCACTGAGTCATAAGAATGAGAAACCTTGTTATATACAAAACATAACAGAACTCTAATGCACAAATTAATTTTATTGATGAAAACACAAGAAACGTGAAGGAAACTTACGGCATGAAGCACGAAATAAGATTGAACCATTCACCGCACTGTATATCCACAGAACGAACAGTAGAATGTATGGTCTTCATCTTAAGACTTCCTGCTTCTTCAACAACAATTCGAAACGTGGTGATACAAAGATATTGAACCGAGAGAAGTGTACGGCGAGTCTTGACATAGAAAAACTCACTGTTCCCCAAATGAACCAAATACTCTGTCTTATACTTCCCCCCATATGGCAATGGTGGATGCGCAATCTCCAGGCCTTCCAATACAAACAGTTGGCTTAGGAAATATACAAGACTACCGTCATCACCTTTGTACATCTTAAAGCCGAATGCTATCAACTCCTCCCCATGTACGGAATAGATTCTCTCGCCTACAACCACAGCCCTCCCTTTGAAAGGAGCACAACAAACAGAAATGTCAATTTCCACTGGCTTCCATTGGTTTCTACTTATGTGAAATGCAACGACATCGAAATTCTTTCCTCTCGAGGCACACAATGAAAACAAAATAACCCCATAACAAATGGCATAACCAGTTATATTCATATAGGTGTCATAATCATTATAAAATGGATAAGAAGGCATTATCTCCCAGAGTTTCTTATCGGGATCATATCTCTCAAAGGAAGCCTCTAGATTTGGTGGGAAGCTCGATGGACATGCAAGACAATAGAGCTTGTCATATGCAGACACAACAAGTGGTGATCGTTTATGTTTTATTGGAGGAGTAAAAGATGAGCATCTGGACATAGTCTTCGTGTCAATAATAAATCCACAATCCTGTGCAAGGACGTATAAATTGGAGCGGATCCGTGCAGCGACCAAGCCAACAACCTGATTCTTCTCACGTTCACAAAACCTGTCAACACGCCCAACTACTGGGGCTCCGTATTTGAATTTCACTTCATAGATTGCATTACTTTCTCCTTGAATCTCAAAATAAGACACAAATAAATATACAGATGCAGCTTCCGTCAAGCTGGACAGATAAGAGAGATATATACAACAAGTCAAGTTAAGCTTTTTAAACACCTACCTAACTAGCTAGAGAGAATTAATGAATGAAGCAAAGGCCAAAGCAGCTAGCTAGTAGAAGCTGCTTACTATTTCAAACAAGAATCTTTGAATAATTAAACATGTATGCAGCAACTAGAGAAAACTTGAGGAAAATTTGAAAAAGAAAAACATGCACAATTTTACAGAGAAAAGAAGATGAAATCCACTAAACCATGCACTAACCTTGGGTAAGGATTATCTGCCTGTTGGATTTGCACCAACGTTGATTGTATTAAGCGAAACTGCTCCGACATTGAACGCATCAAATCGACCAGTTGCATTTGCTGGGCGGAAAGCACGGCTAGAGATTTATTGATCTCCAATATCTTGCCCACTTCGCCCAGAGGTATCTCCATCTCCGTTCTCTCGCACAGTTCGCGCATAGATTTCTCGACCTCTTGTACATAGTGCAGGACCTCATCGCCGGTTGAAGTGAACTTTTCGAGGAAAGGGGAGAAGTTAACACATCGATTCAAGGGGTGACAGTAGGGGAGCAAATCGGCGGAGGCAGAAGGTTGAGATGTATTCGAATCCCCCATTATATCGGATCCGTTGCTATCAAAATGCTAACTTGAGGCACAAGGGAAATTAGGGTTTGGGGATGGGGATGCTGCGGCAGAAGGGAGATTGGTTTAGGGTTTGGGTACGATATCAAAGTTTCGAATCGAATGAACGAAAGAAAGAGTAGAAATCAGAGTGTTAGGGAAAGGTTCACTCAATATTCAAATCTAAATGTTAAATAACTGGGTATTTATAGCAAACTAAAGCTTAGAGACAAATGGATAAAACTAGATAACCTAGGAAACCAACAAATAATTTTTTTTTTAAAACTAATAATTTAGGTCCTACACGCATCCTGCATCATTGGATGATAGGGCCTTTGCTTGCTGTTAAAATGCAAACTTGAGGCACAGGGAATTTAGGGTTTGGGGATGGGGATGCCGAGTTAGAAGGGGGTTTGGTTTAGGGTTTGAGTATGATATGAGTTTTTTTTTCTCTAACATATTGCCACATGAAGGTTTAACGGTTGGAGAACAATCAGAATATAACCAAATAGCATAATAAAACAACACGAAAATATATTCTATATAAATAATAAAAAAGAAAATACTGATTTGGATAGGTGACAGAGTCATGCGTGTTGTAAAATGGCTCACATTTAGTATGCAAGTGAAGGAGGAAGCGACCGGTCGCAAGGGAAAAGCGACCGGTCGTTTTTGCACAGAGTCGAAGTCTGGAGAATTCGTAGGAAGTCGCACGTAGTGCTGTTTCGATTTTTCCACGCGTTTTTCAGGTTCTCTTCACATGTGCTTGTTCCCTACCTAATCCCTCGGGCCTCTAAGTTGTTCTATGGGTTCTAGGAAGTCTAGCAAGGTGCTGGAAAAGCAGGAGCACCATTGAATGAGGATTGTTGACTTGTTTCAAAGAGTACCTATCCTATAGCTCTAGATAGGATGGCTGAAGTTGCAGCTATCAATGCCTAGCCTTTGTTCTGCCCAAGTTGTGGTCCAAGTCTGGAAACCAAGGGGAGAGCGTGGGAGGAAAAGATGGAGCCTTCTCCTAAGTCTAAAGGCTTGTGTATTAAGGGGAAGAGGAAGCAAGACAGCAATGGTGTGGTTAATCTCAAGGAGTGGTCAAGTAGCTGGGAGCTATTGTGTCCAAGAGGTTGAACTTACCAAGGGAGGAAGAGAGAGAGGGCAATCAGTTCAAGAGGGAGTTGAGTTGGGTCTTGAGAGCCTAGACACCAAAGGGGGGAAACACCAAGTGTAAGAGAGTGTTCACAAGTGCATCAAAGTGTTGAGCAAGGGGTGAGAGAGAAAAGAGAGCTTGGGAGATAATAGAGTTCTAAGGGGGTTTCTTTGTAAACCAAAGTTGTAACTTATTCTTTCATTAGTGAATTTCTCAAGGGGATCACCAAGAGGATGTAGGCAATTTCTGAACCTCTATAAATGCTTGTGTCACTTTGTGCTTGGTTGGTTTCTCAAGTGTGTGTGTGTGATTCATCCATCATTGTGTGTGTCACAAAGTCCATCAACAACAAGATTATTAGGGGAGTGAGTGAAAGTGTTTGTACATTTTCACCAACAATGCGGAGTTGCAGTGTTATTTAAACAGTAGCTTTGCTTGTAGAGATCTGATACCTCTTCATCTAACAATTGTAACAAGTGTTCAAACATTTTCGAATTTCAGATAATGATATTATCTAAAAACGAATTTCTCATTAATACAAAGAATTATTAATTTAATCAACAGAGCTCAAAGGCCCCAGGCCCATATTTTGACAATTAAATCTATAGTAAGACAAATTGGAAACCGGAGTGGGCCCTACAAAGATGTCCCTCAAATAACTTATTTGAGGGATCCCTCAATTGAAACTCCCTATATATATATATATATATATTCTATAACATAGGCTATACCCAAACCATGATAAGGCCCAACTTTGCCGTCACTAGGCCCATAACCTATTGAAGGGTTTTAAAGTGTTGGTGCTTATATAAACCATGAAAGGAAACTACTCCCTTTCAATGTGGGACTATGTGAAAGTGTATTTTCTTATACCAACTCTAACAACCAATCCTAATGTTCAATGTGTTTGTTATGTTACCAGAGACTTCGCCTATCCTAGACCAGTGGCTATGGCTGTAGTTCAGGTCATCATGGCAATCAGGCTCTTCTACTACTATGCTGTGGGATTGCCAAGGCAAATATATGTGACGATTGTGTTGATAGGGCTAGGGTATGGTGCTCTCTGGGCAATTTTGCCAGCTGCAGCTTCAGAGCTATTTGGCTTGAAAAATTTTGGGGCCTATATAATTTTCTTACAATGGCAAATCCTGCTGGTTCTCTTATTTTCTCAGAACTTCAGAAGTGATTGCTAGTGGCATATACGACCACTACGCGAAGGAACAAGCTGCACTCAGACACCATGACTCGGCTTCAATGCTTATAAAACCCCCCAGAGATGATGACTCACTCAGTTGTGTCGGCACTGTATGCTATTCCCATTACTTGTGGAATACTCACAGGACTTTGCATTGTTGCAGCTGCATTGAGTTTAATTGTTGTTTACCGGACTAGGAGGGTTTATACGCAACTCTATGGATCACGCGGTTGAGCTGTGAAGGCAATGGGGAAGTGGATATCTACTGTCAGCAGAATGAGTCTGAAAGGTCTTTCATCCCTATGATATAGGACCGGAGTCTTTCTGAGGGTACGAGTCTGAGGCAAACATTTCTGCTGCACCTATATTATCACAAAAGTGAGAACCAGCCGGCCCTGGGGTGGCGCAAGTGGCGCCACCGCACAGGGCCCCGAATTCTTGAGGGCCCCGAAAAAAAAATTGTTTATATTATATATATTAATATTATATAAATTGTATATATATTACAGCGTGCTAAACATTTGCACAAGAGTGCGCATAGTGGAGTTGGCTGCAGCGCGTATTCACTTAACAAAAGCGCCTGACTTCGATTCTCCATCTATTTGCCTTTTTTTATATACTATTTTTGTTTTATAACAACAAACTTTACATAATTATAAATAAATAAAAACAGAAAGCCTTAAAAAAAGAAACTTTCTACTCCCCCCTTATCATTCTTTTAAAAATAAAAATAAAAAATTTTCTCCTCCAAGAAAAGTACTCTCTTCATTTAAAAACAAAAACTTCATAGTTTCTTCTGATTCTCTAGTACATAATCATCAATCTCTCTTTGGTTATTTTTTCAATCTTGAGACAATTTTTATAATTCTTTCAATTTCAAGAATTTCAACACCGAAAAAAGAAAACCCTAATTCCTAAATTCATAAAGACCATCAAAATCAAATAGTCAGCTTCAAATCTCAATTCAAATTCAAGTATATATCTAAAATTTCAATCTATTCTATATATTACATGACTTATTTTATTAAATTATTATCATGTTGGTGATTGGTTATATGATATAGTTTTAGAATTATTTATCTATTTCTTGCTGGGGTTTTCTTCCAGGTTATACTATATATTACATGACTCATTTTATTAAATTATTATCATGTTGATGATTGGTTATATGAGAATATAGTTTTTAGAAATATTTATCCATTTCTTGTTGGGGTTTTCTTCCAGGTTATAGGGTTTTGGAATTTTTCTTTGTAATCTAAACATGCCACCTACTAGAAAATACGTTTTTGGATATACAAAACGACTTAGTTAGTCATTACATGTTTATTGATGGTGACTTTTAGTTATATAAAAAATTGTTTATGACATTAAGTTATGGCAAATTTTTATTTATAGTATTTTTTGTATTAGATTATGTGAGGCCCCAATTTAAGTTTCGCACAGGGCCCTCAAAATCTCAAGAACGGCCCTGATCTAGTCCAAAGACAAGAATGCAAAAGCACTTGGTGTATAATTCTTATCAAAATGGAGGAACATAATGGTAAATAAGCCTTCATCCTAAGAACAGAGGAAGTGCACTAGAATGTGAAATGGGATTCTGTGATCGAAATCAGACAATATCATGTTATAATATTCAGCATATGTAATAACACTGTCCATATCATTAACCTATCACTTAAATACTAGTCAATTTAAAAAAACCTTTAGTTTGTAGTTGAAAATTACAAAAGGAAAGACTAATCCTTCAATATTTATCGGAACCTGCTGTTCCTCACAAAGCAGCAAATTTCTATATCATGGGGACACCCTTTGTTCTAAATCATGGAGAGAAAGACTAATAGAGAAGCAAGCATGCCGTAGCTACAACAGATTACATACAACAACGACTCTCTCACGATGCCTAGCTCTTCCTCTTCCTGACGGATTTCAATTCTGGCTCCCTGGCATTCCACACCCTACTTCTTTCTGCAAAAGCCGATTATATTACAAGAAATTAGATTCAAAGGCGAAAATAAACACTTATAGACACGAAAAAAATTGAGTCTCTTGATTCATGGTCATTAAATAAACAAAAACATTTCATGTAAACACATTTCTTTCACCTTTGCCATTCTCCTACGGTTCACCATAGAAAAACTCTCATCTATACTGGTTTCTTCGTCTTTAGGTTCATAATCCTCGCACCCACTAAGTCATAATAATGAGAAACCTTGTTACATACAAAACATAACAGAACCCTAATGCACAAATTAATGTTATTGATGAAAACACAAGAAACGTGAAGGAAACTTACGGCACAAAGCAGGAAACAAGATTGAACCAATCACCGCATTGTATATTCACAGAACGAACAGTAGAATGTATGGTCTGTTGGAAAAAATGGCTCACCTAAAAGGATACAAAGTTTTTTGGCGCTCAAAGGATGATTTTGAATCTGCCTAAAAGCGACCGGTCGCTGGACATTTGCGACCGGTCGTTTTGAAGCAGATTCGAAGTCTGGAAGCAAAACTGAAGAGCGACCGGTCGCTAGTTCTTTGCGACCGGTCGCAGGCACACGAGCGACCGGTCGCTGGACATTTGCGACCGGTCGCTTAGAAGCAGATTCAAAGTCTGGAGGGAAAACTTCTGGCGACCGGTCGCCCATTCCTGACGACCGGTCGCTCCAGTCGTGCTGTGATGCTTTGCTTAC